CCCCCCCCCCTATTTTTTCCACGCCCCTGAGCTATATTAATATTCTAATCACTCACCCGCTTTTAGACCGCAGATTTATTTTACCAACTATTTAAGAAAAACAAAAGAAAATACTAAGCACCTAAAGAACTTGCATTTTTTTAAAAAGAATCTCATTTAGCGCAGCTATCGGGAATTTTATTTCGTCATCATATTTCCTTCATGTTCCCATTGAAACACATACAAAAAAAACGGATTTTTTTTTGAGTTTGGATTGGGGATAAAAATTTTATAGAATGTGTTGTCATCGTCAACGAGTCTATGTGCCAAGTTTCAGCTCGATAGGTTGAGGGAAAGTGGTTAATTAGCCGTCTGAAGATTTTGTCAGGCACGAACAAAGACGAAGTTAATATGAAGTAAAAAAAAAATAAAATAAAGTTTAAAACTTTAAAAAAAAATTCTGTTAAAGTAAAAGACACTGGAAACGTATAAAATAATTTAAAACTTCTTATTGCATTAAGCAAAAAAAAAAAAAATGTGAAGAAAATATACTATTTAACAAAAATTATACAAATAAAACAAGTATAGTTTCGTTTACATTCAATTCGAAACCTTTGGAGCCATAGAATGCTCCTCTGGTGACCTGTTCTTATGGCAAACTGCACTGGTTTTTAACTACGATCGGTTATAAATGTAAAAAAAAAAAAACAAAAAAAAAAAAAACCAATCGCGAAGGACGCTTTAAATTGTTCCTTTTTTATTTTGGATTATGGGCAGATTATGGATTAGTATTATTATTATTACGGGTTTTTTTTATAAAGCGCAGCACCCCAGCCAAGGTTCACTGCGCTTCACATAAAAATTAGCAGTTACATAAACGTATAAGAATTGGTAAAAAGCTTGACCTCACTCACCCAAGTACTATCTACCTCTGTCTAGCCATGGGCAGCACCCAGCAGAATCGAGCGTTGTTTATCAGTCAGAGAGGAGTGAGAATGATTCGGTATAGTACAGTTTGAAGAGATTGGTTTTGAGGGCAGTTTTGAAGGCTGGAATGGTAGTTACATTGCGGATGTGTCATGGGAGAGAATTCAATTGTTTTGCGGCACAGAAAAAGAAAGATCATTCACCATCGTGCATTTTCTGGGAACAGAAAGAATACGCGTGTCTCCGGAGGAACAAAGCTCTCGCAATGGTGAATAGACAGTAAGAAGTTCAGTAAGATAGGAAGGGCAGGAACCAGAGAAACGTTGTGACAGAGAACAGACAGTCTGTAATCAATGCGTGCCTGTATGGGGAGCCAATGAAGTGAGTGAAGTAGTGGAGTGACGTGATCACGTTTCTTTACCCTTAGAACTAACCTAGCAGCTGAATTTTAAAATTTCTGCAGTTTTTCTATGAAATTTTTTGGTGAACCTGACAGATGAGAGTTACAATAGTCAAGACGAGAGAGAACAAGAGCACACACTAGTGTTTTTGTTGCACTGACTGTGAGGCATTGGCGGATGGAGCTGATCTGACGGATAGCGGTGTACGCAGAGCGATGATTATTGAGAGACATGTCAGAAAGAATAAAACGGCACAAACACGGTAGGGATCACGATTGTTGCAGTTAATGGATATGAGGCGTGAGGAAGCTGTTCCTAGGCAACTGTTTTGCCCCAGTTGCTTCGTAAATTAGTTGCGAGGTAGAAACCCATTGTATAAATCCCTGTTAGAGGGCGCCTGACGCTTTCCCGGGATGGGAGGGGGAAGATTTTAGGAACTAGCTATGCCACCCCGACTCCTGGGAAAGTCGACTGCTGACACGGGCCGACCGGATGTGCTTAGGTTGGAGTGGCCTCCGTTGGTACACCGTCGAGTAGGTGCTGGCGGGGGCTGTAATGACAAAGGGAGATCTCCAAGGTGCCGCTTCGCGGCTCGATTCTCGGGCTTTTTTTTTTTAAAGAGCTTGGTACTAGCTCGACTGTCCGCTCACGCCATTTCCTAATATCCTATTTCAATATGTCTCTTGATTTTAAAGACTTTCTGTGGAAAAGTATCCTCTTAATTTATATTATATAGTAGACTTAAGTAGACCTACGTCAAAAAATCAAATTTGACGTAGCAGACGTCATACCATATTGGACCACACGGTTCTGTTTGCTTTTGTCTTCCTTTGTATTGTAGCAAACATTTCAATAATGTCTTTTAGTTATTTAGTATTATTATGACAGAAAATAACAATAACCGAAAATATTGAGTCAATGGCAATCCTAGTTTGATTCTAATTATTTTTTTTTAGCGATACTCCGTATGTCCTGGTACCTGGAATGTGATTTCGTTTACCTGGTTGGTGGGTGAGCCTGGCCCGCCCTCTTTTGCCACCTTTAACCTTGTCAGATTTACGTCACTTCCGTCGACCTGCCATTTTATGTGAGGCTCTCACAGCTTCCTCTTTAAATCAAATCGCATGACAATTAAAACAACTTTTAGGCTTAATACACGACGAACGTGAGTTCCAACATAAACTTTTATCAGGTTTAGGTAATATTTAAACACATAGACAACAATGCCTCGGTTCTTCGGCGGCAAAAAGAACCAAAGTAAAAACGAGACCATCACAAATGATACAAGTAATCAGAATGTGAATGATTCGCCCCACCCTAACGATTCAACAAGCAACGAAGCCAATGGTGGAGGATCGAAGGTTGGACGACCAAATTCCGAAAATATTCCTGCAGCCCAGGTACCTCGGCCAAAACTTGTATTTCACTGTCAGCAAGCACATGGGAGTCCAACGGGAATTATATCAGGTTTTACAAATGTCAAGGAACTGTATCAGAAAATCGCCGATTGTTATGACATTCCAGTGTCAGAGGTGAGAGTTTCCATTTATTTTCATTTTACTGGTATATTAAAACACTGTCAATGCTACCTCTGGTAATATAATTCATCTTTATAAGTTTGTACTTGTTTCTCTGACTGACTAAAATTCACAAACATAATAGAAGCGATGTGAAATTTTTACATTAGTTATAAGCTTCTGTTATCAATTTCTAGGTCATCACATTGAATCACGATTCAATGATTAATGATTGATAATGTTGTTACTGGTCACTGGTACAAGTTACATTATCATTATTATGTTGACAATAACTTCAATAAGACTAATTTAAATGAAAATTTCAACTGAATTTGACATTTATTCAGCTCACAATTCAATTTTTACACCCAGAGATGGGACAATATAGATTTTATTTTTAAAAATTCACTGTTTCATTTTTTAAGTACTGTAACACTAACATCGCAGTGACCACATTGATGATTAAAAACATTTATTGATGATGAAATAATTACTTGAATAAAATCTTGGGTTCATAGTCTTTGATGAAAAATATTGCAGCCAATTTTCAATTTAAAAAAAAGCATTTTATATTGCTGTATACTGTATCCATTCTGGGTAAAAATAGGAGAGACTGCGGCTTACCGAGACTGCAATCAGGTTAGCAAAATAGAAAATGAGTAAAGCAAAGTTAAACCTGAAAAAAGTAACGCAACAAAACAACAAAAGGAAACCCTTTGTCAGCGAACAAAATACAGAAAAACCATAACATTTTTTTAAAAAATAGCACTTAGCCGAGAGGGCAGCAAAAGAAAAGACCAATTTTTTTGCTGCCCTCTCGGATACTACTTCTCAGCTAAGTGCTATTAAAAAAAAAAAATTATGTTTTTTCTGTTGTTTGTTTGTTGACAAAGGATTCCTGCTGGCACTTTTGTTGTTTTGTTGCGTCCCTTTTTTCAGGTTTAACCTTACTTTGTTTTACTAATTTCCCATTCTAACCATTAAACAAATTTCTAATTTATGTAATGATCATGAAATTCTTTTTAGTAGGTTAACTTTACTTAAATACATAATTTCCTTCCAGATTTTATTTTGCACCCTCAACACACACAAGATAGACATGACTCGACTTTTGGGTGGCCAGATAGGTTTGGAAGATTTCATTTTTGCTCATGTCAAAGGTCAACCCAAGGAAGTGGAAGTAACAAAATCAGAAGATGCTCTTGGCCTAACTATAACAGACAATGGGGCAGGTTATGCTTTTATCAAACGCATCAAGGAAGGGAGCATAATGGATAAAGCAGCTTTTATAGCTGTTGGAGATCATATTGAAAAAATTAATGGAGAAAGTTTAGTTGGGTGTCGGCATTTTGAAGTTGCGAAAAAGCTTAAAGAAATTCCTAAAGGGTCAACATTTACACTGCGGACGGTAGAGCCATTAAAATCAGGTTTTTGTAAGTATTCATTTAATTTAAATATTACTCATGTAGCCTAATAAAAAAAATATTTACTCTTGAATATTTATTTTGTCTAAATCGATTTGTATATGAACATTTTTATTTAAAAATAAAGTTCAAATGCTGATGAATTTATTTGAATCTGGATTTAAAGAAAAAGACTAGTCTATAATATAATTATGATTTTCATTTTAAAAAATGTTGTTTTTGATGGTAGTAAACTCTAATAACGGAATAAAATATAGCACAATACTAAACATAATAGTTAATGGAAAAAAATGTATGTCACTAAGAAATTTATTTAAAATGGAATTCCTGTTTTTAAAAAAGCTAACATTATTTTGTTAAGTTAATGGTACCTATATTTTATTTAGAATTTTATGTATGACCTTTTAGAAAATACAACATATAGTCAAAGTTATGATACTTTTAAAGTTGAATAATAGTCATAGTCCTAAAACTAATAAAAACGTTTCAATTTCAAGGATACCTGAGGCTTATTTGACATACTGTCACTGGTAGTAGTATATTTTCTTAGATAAGTTCAACTAAGGTGTATGCGCCCCTCCCAGACTTTTGTCAGCCACCCAAGTTATGTCACTTATTTACATTACATTTTCTACTTTTCAACTGATTTTTCTCATTAAAAAAGTCTAATATTTCTCAAATAATTCACCCAATAAAATAATTTTCATTGTGAATGCTGCATGAGTTTTTGGGCTTTTTTTTTATCTACAGCAAATATTGGTCCTGCTGCAGGTAAAAAGGGTAGTGGAAATCTAGGCTCTGGTAAACAGACCTTGAGATTAAGATCCACTGGCCCAGCAACTGTAGAAATAGTGAGTATCTTTTGTTTTCCAACTCTGTGAATGAAAATTAAAGTCTAGTTCAGTGGTTCTCAACCTTTCTAATGCTGCGACCCTTTAATACAGTTTCTCGTGTCGTGGCAACCCCCAGCCACACAATTATTTTTGTTGCTACTTCATAGCTGTAAGGATATGTGTTTTCGGATGGTCTTAGGCGACCCCTGGAAAAGGGTCCCGCGACCCCCAGAGGGGTCGCGACCCACAGGTTGAGAACCGCTGGTCTAGTTTAAAAAAAAAAAAAAAATCTTTCAAGGATGGAAGACACACAGATACTTAGATCACTGGGAATTTTGAGCCAACACACACACACACATTTTCCATCTTCTCTACAACCAGTTTCTGCCATTTTAATAATTCTAAAAAATACAGCACAATTGAGCCATCAATTCTCACACAAATGATCCAAGAATTCTCAACAGATAAGTAGTAATATACCGAAAGGAACGAAATATGTGAGAATCTCTAGAATGTTATCATACCATTTTTTATTGAGCTGTTATTTTTTCATCTTTAATGTAGTGTTTACATATTGATGCATCATACTTCCATTTTGTCTCTGAACTGTGATAACTTCCAACAGCTTGAAATGTTATACCCAATAGGTCTGAGTAGGGTGCGGTTTTATGTCTGGGTACCGGGTCTGTGTACTTTGAGAATATACCCTGCTGGTCCAATTCCTAGTACCAGTATCATGATTCAGGAATTAGATAAGATTCTCCCTTTTTGTAGCAAATTTTTCAGAAATGTGTTTGATGGTCAAGTAAAATTAACATTGCAGATTAGGGTCAAAGTCTCATATTGCCAATAAGAGGTCTTTTCCTTGGGACAGGTGCTAAAGTTGGGCTCTTTTACTTTTTTATTTAAATGATTAAATTAATATTTTATTCCATATGCAAAGTTTTTAGCCTTCAGTTATAATGCTAGCATTAGTAAACAGTGGTACAAATGATTTGCTAGTTAAGAATTTTTAACACCAGCATTAGTAAACAACAATTCTGGATTTTTGTTGTTGTTAAATCAATTAATCTAGTTGAATTTTTCATAGCAAGAGTAATTTAAAATTGGTATATATAATACACCCTTATGTAATTAAACTACCAACCCTTTAAATAATTTTCTATTTTCAGCCTGATGATGTTGTCAATGTTGCTACAGATAAAATCAACAATTTGCTGGAGTCATTTATGGGTATCAATGACACAGAATTAGGTAAGCTTCAATTCTAACTCATTGATTGCATTTTTAAGATACAAAACTGCATTTTTTTTTGTTTCCCCATGACTTAATAAAAAATAACTGTAGTTTTATTGCTCATTTGGTCTATGCATAAATAGAGCACAAAAGTATACCTTTGAAAGTACTGGTAGCAAATATTTAATCTGATTTAAGAATCGGCTCATTTGTTGAACAGTATGCAACAAATGACTGAAAACCAGTACTCTATACAAAGAAAAACTATACCAATGCTAGTGATATAAATAATATTTAATTTATTTATACTATTTAATTTATGTAACGATTACACTATGAAATAGAGGGGAATGAAAAGTATATTACCTTACAGCACAGCAAGTGAAAAAGTATAATGTTCGCAAGATACAAATATTAATATACACACAAACACAAAGTACAATTTAGTAAGTCTCCTATATTATGTCTCGTAAAGTCTAGGAATATTAACAAAAAACTCCCCCAGTTGGGAAAAACTGCCTTCTTAATTATAGGGTGTAAGAAAAGAAATTCTAGAAAGGCTGCGAATATTCGCACCCGGGTATCAGAAGTGAGAGGTTGGGATTAAAAAAATATTTAAAATATTATTGTTGAAAATGAGGTAATAAATGAAAGATAATTGAATGGACTATATGTTTGTAAACTTACTTCTTCAGTTTACTAAAATAAACTACCACAAATGACATCTGAATAGGATTTAGTCTAAAGGGACCAGGGTCCGAATTACAGCTATGGGTCTTTCATTTGATACCTCATTTTGTCTTACAATCCCAACAGTAATATTTTAAATAGTTTTTTAATCCCAACCTTTCACTTCTGATACGCTGGTGTGAATAGCCACTTCGTTCTAGAAATTGTATCTCTCTATAGCATTCTTTAGAAGAAAGAGAACTTAAACTTTTCCCAACTAAGGGAGGGTTGGATAAAAGGATTGGCACTTCACATTTAATCGATGATGTCATTATTAAACAAAAAGGGGAAGGGGAAGTATGGCTGAATACCACAGCATTCAAATAAAAACTAGGCCAACATACAGGCTCTAATAGAGTCCATTATAGTTTTTATCCTAGGCTTAACCACACCAAATCCTTCATAGGGAAGACAAGGTTTTGCCATTTTAAGACTAGAGTCTGTAAATTAGATCATAGTATATTCTTTTGCATGCTGAGATCAGTTAATGATTTTGTAAATGTGTGAGCTGTCTTCAATAACACAAGCATTATTGCACACATTCCATAATTCATGAGGGGATTGCGAGCTAGCTATTAAAAAATGTTTTTTTTTCTGTTCTACTATAATAAGCTTTACTGTACATTGCAAGCAATATAATTTGAATGCTTTGCATTTTCAGCCCAAACAATATGGGAAATAGGAAGAAAAGCCAACAATCCAAGTGACTTTGCAATTGGAGTGGATGATTCAGATCTTGGCATGTTTGGATTTACAGATGATTTTGTTTTTGATCTATGGGGAGCAATTTCAGATGCAAAGAGTGGGCGATTAAATCAGGTTGCGGCGGATTTCAACGAGCAGTTTTAATATTTGGTACCTTTTCTTTAAAACTATTCATTTAGTGTACTCACTGTAAAAAAAAAATATGTCCCACCAAATGTAAAATTTTCTTGCATCAACATTAAGCAAATATGCATTGTTTGTATGGAAACCTTACTGATCTAATATTTCTTTTAGTTTGATGAAAATAATATAAACTATAGGTTTTTAAAACACTATTTGTTCATAATAGAAGAACATTAATAGAAAGTGGGTTTAAAGTTTTGAATCATTGTCACATTAGTTTTATACTATATTTAGATAAAGAAAAATGTCCATGACTTTGCATCATGTGTATTTTGATTGAACAGTTCTAATTTCAAAGTTTCTTTTTAACATACTGAAGGTATATATTCATATTAAATATTTATAATAGAATGTTAACTATTTTCAAATGAGAATTAGGACAATGTTAATTAACATAAAGCATATACATCAATGATCTCCAAAATGTTTGACCAAGATTTTTAAAATGTTTTATAGCCAAATTTCCTGTTTTAAATATTTTTTTACTCCACCTGTAATCACTTAAGATGGAGTAATACAAGGGCTCTCAAACTTTGCCTGTGATGTAAAAAATCTTTTGGTTGTACTGTTTCAAGATATTTACAAAGGTTGTGAAAATGCTGTAATTGTTGCTATATGTATACATTCCCTTCTATTTATAACTTTGTATTATGTTTGATGGCCTTATATTCTCTGTTATTATTTTGCTCACCTCACCCAATAGACAAGAGTTGTTGACATGCAGGGCAGTGCCTTCTTACAACCTGATCATTGTGAAGAACTGGGAACATTTAATTATAATGAACTGACTCCTTAGTGAACCAACAACAAAATATAGTTTAATACTAAATAGCATCAATTATGTTGAAAAAAAAAGTACATTTTGTATTTATGCATGGATTAATTCTCAGCGTCAGGCTTGGTTAGTTTAATTAAGATCTTTTTAGGTATGGGCTGACTTTCTTTCCTTTCAAAGATCTGCGCTAGAAAAGTCTTACTTACCGTAACATATCTAATTCTTCTAAGGACTGGTAAAATGTGATTTTAATATGTCTGTGCCATTCGTATGTGTAGAAATACAAACATTTTTGTGAATGGCATGTGATGGGGTATTACTGCCATGATTAAAATATAAGTCACAAAGAAGAGGTGAATGAATTCATGCCAGACACACCATGCCTTACTAGTGCATCAAAATAGTTTTTGAGAAAAAAATATGCATTGATAAATAATTGTCTTTCTTCACACTATTTAATTTTAGTCAATTTATTTTGTCTTATTTGAAAATCCTATAATTATTAGATATCTGTTCTCATAATACTTATTTTAAGTCCAAAAAATGTTTTCTAAGAAAGTAGTTTCATGTGTAAATGTCAAGTGATAAAGATGCATATTTTTACATTTACTGGTATTACAATTTGTTGTTTAAGTTTTAAGAATAATTGATTCAAATCTTTATATTTGTAGAATGTGTTCTGCCTGTATGAGTGTTTAAAGTAAGACTTGTGATTTTTTTTTTCCATCTGAGGTTAACATGAGTTTTAAGTTAGTTGGTGTTAAAAATAACATGCAAACATTGAGGAAGATGCTGACATGATTATATTGATATAGTCCTTTTAAAAGGGTATTGATAGTAATGGGTGCAATTTGTTTTCAGTTCTGTAGTAATTTCTTGTCAGCTGTACCATATTTGTTTACAGTAATTCTATTAGTCATATTTAACATTGCAAGAGTTTAAAATCAATATTTTGTTAAAACTATAGTATCATAGTCATGTAGGCTTATTGTAAAAGACCATAATTGATATATAATTGTTCAAAGAACATAATTTGTGAAGTTTTTGTAGTTCAGACAAGTTTATATCACTGGGTTTAACAAATAGCTTATAACAAAGTTTTTCTTATCCATTACAGTATGTTAATTTGGATTTGTACAAAAGATAAAAAAAGTGAAAATTTTCTTATTGGTGATAATTTGTGGTCTGGCTGTACACTTTTAAATACATTCCAATTTTTACTTGTTTCATTAGAAATGTTTATTGTATTTTTAGACCAAAATATATTTATATAAAAAAAATCTATTTAAAAAGAAAAACACACATTGACATTTTGTTGTAAAGTATGAATATACCTATTGTACTTTATGTTGTTAAGTGTTCCATTCTCATTGACAAAATTTAAAAAAAAAACGTACTATGGTATTGTGACTCTACTTTTTTTTTTACAAGTGACAATTTTCAAAATTTAAAAAAAAGCGTACAACACTGTTATTAGTAATAATTTCCTATAAAATCTAAAACTCAATAATATTCAGTGTTGGCAGTAAATACAATATTGTCACATATAGTGTCAACCCTCTACATTTTTCTGTCTCAATTAACAATATCTATAGCTTGATCTTGTTAAATTTACATGAGTTTTATAATGAATGAAAAAACTTACTCACAATCAATGAGTAAAAAAAAAAAACAGTCAAGAACATACAAAATCACAGGCTGACTTGAAGGGAAATCAGTATTTTAAAGAATGAAATAATTGTTCTGATAAAAACTGACCAAAGCCTTGACCAATACTTCAATATAGACAATTGTACAAAGAAGGCTAAAGTTTATCTTGCTTGAATTTATTAGTTATTAGTTTGTTTCCCTTCACTTTTGATGTCAGTCCGCAGTCAAACCACAGCTTTTTTTTAGTGCTATCTTTTTGTCCCATGAAATGGCATTAAGCTATTTTTATCCCATAAAACTAGGTTTGCAGTATTATAAATCCAGAACTAGCTTCATTCCAGGTTTAAATGAACATGTCATGAAGTATGGGACAAGTTATATGCTTATTGCTATATAAGAAGTTAGGATGGTTTACCTGACTTGGCCAACTAAGCTGTGAATAACAATTAATCACTTGTACCCTATAGATAAAGTGAATAGCATTGTCATGTACTTTAATTTACCTCAGAGAAGTGTTAACAGACGTAGATAGTTTAAATAAATGAAAAATCTGTTCCAGTCAAAAGATTTTTCCAAACCCATAGTTCCTTTTCCATTTACTTGCTGAGTGGCACACTGATACTTAAGATAATTGGTAAAAGAGGTCATCATGAGTGTATTTTGATGCTAAATGAGGCAATGCAAGCTTAAAACTCTGCAAGGAGATTACTTCCACCCATATTCCCAGTCAAATACTTGAAATACAATTCTGTGACCTTCCATTCAGGCTTTCATTGTGATATTTGAAATGATTTTTGTGTTCAAATTATTTTTAGACAATTTCTTGTATTTTAATAGGTACAGTACATAATACACTGTCTTTATGCACATCAAAATTACTTATTAGCCTCTTGGAATCCTAGTTGTTCTAAAATTTAGGCTGGAATGTAACAATTCCCAGTTTATTTGAACACTTCAACTGTGAAATGTGGGGGGGGGGGGGGGAGGAGTGCCCTCCTTCACCCCCCCCCCCCTGCGGGCGCCCATGAATAATACAGATCTTTTGGAACGCATCAAAATGTGTTGCATGATCTCCGCTCTCATTAAGAGGTGCCTTCACTGGTAAAGAATAATGGAGGAAGGTCGTATTCCAAATGACCTGCTGTATGGAGAGTTGACGGAGGAGGCAATATTTAATGGCGTTTGCAAAAGGAACATGAGCGAAGCCAGCATAGAAAGTGGTGAATAGCTAATCAACGTTCAACTGACGAAAAGCAGTACACGAGTAAGTCGAACAGGCAGAAAATTTGCCAAACGAAGACTTAAAGAACTCAAGAACAACAACAAAAAACACACCCCAAAAAAAAAAGCATTACGGAAAACCAAAGTTAACCAGAAGTCAAGCTTCTCATGCTAGCAGTACAGCTGAGACTAATTCCTGGATCGGCCTGATGAGCCATTTGATGAAGTGTCAATAAGCTACTCCATCGACCCTCGAAGACGGAAGGATGCCATATGTTCAATTAGTATATATAAGTAGGTTAACCTTCGTATTGCAAGAAGTTGAAGAAGCCAGTGCAAATTATGCCAGAATGTAAGGACCAGGCGAGGTATCAGCACACAGAATGAAATTACATTATACAAGGAGGTTGTGCTCCCTACGCTTCTCTGTGCCTATGCAACTTGGACGGTCTATATCAACGCCATGCAAAAATGTTGAACCACTTTGATACAAGTCTCAGGAAAATCTTAAACATCAAATGGCATGATGGGTCCCCAGACACTGATGTACTCGCACAGACAGGTCTCACCAGCATCCTTACCACGGTAACTTTAATGCGGGACATGTTATGCGAATGTCAGACGACTGCTTTCCTAAAAGAATTTGCAATGGTGAGCTCGAGCAAGGAAGGCGGTTTGCTGGTGGACAGATGAAACGCTTTAAAGACAATCTTAAAGCCTCGCTGAAAGCGTTGATATAGACACGGACACATGATAAGAATTGCCAAAGGATCGAGCATCGTGACGTTCCACGGTACGCAAAGACTCCATAAAACATGAAACCAACAGATCAGCGGCTTCAGAGTATACTAAAGACATGTCAGAAAAACCCGGATTAAATTGTAATCAAAATTGGTGTAAATTTCATTCTCTAACTCTTTCCGATCTTTATTACTTCCTTGTTGCCATGTGTTTTGGGGTCTTTTTCGTCCTCTTGATCCTTGATGGTCCCATACCATCGGTTTGTCCTGTTACATTTAGTATGGATTCCATACCAGTGCTTGTCTTGTTATATTTGGCATGGATTCAATACCAGTGCTTGTCTTGTTACATTTGGCATTTGGTCTGTCATTTCCCTCACTGTTGTATTAGGATCACGACTTGGTGTTGAGTATTTTACCCAGGCAGCTATATACGAAGGTTTGAAGTCTTTTGCAACATTATGAAACAAAAGTAAAAAGACGCAACATTTTATTTTAATGTGTATAATTTTTGTCTTCCTAGCTCCTTCTTTTGCCCTATAAATTAAATATGTTCCCATTTAAAAAAAATAAAATAAAAAAACATTAACAAACATTTACATTCAATTGCGCTTCTCATAATCAGGATTTTAAAAAATTAAATTTTGCTCGTGGAACGCACCTTTCTGTTTTGTGGTATATTTAGGTCTACGGGAATGTTAGCAGTTGAATTTTCTATGACTATGTGCTTTTTAGCTCACTGCTGTCATGCGAAGCCGTCACAAGTAGCATGCTTGTACTTTACATACATAGCCATCGCGTAACTTTTGGTGGCCCCTGTCATGGGCGCCCGCAGAAAACTTTCTAGGGGGGTGGGGGCCAAAAAAAATCGATTAACTTTCCAGGGGCGGGAAATTTTTTTTAGTAATGTTTTAATATAGTTTTAATTTGCTGTAACGTATTTGTATGGTGACCGAACGGACAGGACGTCAGCTTAGTTACTTTCTCTTTATTTTCTATTTACTTTAATACATTTTTGGTCTATCTTTGTCTAAATTTTTTTATCCAATCAATCCAGGGGGGGAGGGGCAAGTGCCCCCCTTGCCCCTACCTGCGGGCGCCCATGGCGCCTGTCGAGTATGGGAGTTCAATAATAATTGTTGCGACTGAATATCATATTTTATTATGTTTCATTACGCGCGAAGTGTGTTTGAGAGTTCTTCCCGCTTTACACTCTGTGACGTATTTTTATGCCGATTGTGGCGTATTGTCTAGACTGTATTGTGACGTAAGTTTTAGTCGTGCGACAGTCGTGAATGGAACTTTGTGGAAGTAGGATGTGTATTATTTCTGTCTGATAGCGAGCTGCGCTATATTCATGTGTGTATTGAGTTTACAGCCTGTGTTAATTATAAGATATTAAAGTTACATTTATTGTGTTAAAGGACTTGAGTTTATTCAAGTGTGAAAGAACTTTACGATTTAACCAATCCAGTAGAACATAGGAGTTGACAGCCCCCTGCCACTTTTCCGTTTTGTGCCCCCTGCATTCAAAGATTATAGTTCATTTTTTCACATCACATCTGTTGCTATGAAAAGAAGGTACCATTATTTGGATCTGTCACTAAGAAAAGAAGGTACCCGTATTTGGATCTGTCGCTATGAAAAGATGGTACCAGTATTTAGATATCTTACTGTAAAAAGAAGGTACCAATATTTAAATCTGTCACCACGTAAAGAAGGTACCACTATGTGGATCTGTCACTGTGAAAAGAAGGTACCGGTGTTTAGATCTGTCACTATGAAAAGAAGATATCATGTAGATCTGTCACTATGAAAAGAAATTATCACTATTTGGATCTGTCACTGTGAAAAGAAGGTACCAGAATTTGGACCTGTCACTAGGAAAATAAAGTACCAACATTTAGAGATGTCACTATGAAAAGAAAATTATGAGTTTAACGGTTAGGATTTGTTACTATTTATAGCTATGGAAGATACAAGTATTTTGGTGTAAGGATTCACGGGTGATTTATGCATTTGGAATGTCTCGTGCTAACTATTCCTATGAATAGAACATGATACAAATTAGCCAGTCGGGGCTCTGCTCGATTTCATGAACGACAGTTCATCTGTTTACTTAGTGCTTGTTCACATACACCGTCGTTTAGTTAAAGTGGTTGCTGACACCATGGAGAGCCAAGAGATGTGTAGTTAAAACTTCTTTGGCGGCGTCACAAACACGTCCCTAACTTTGAATAAAAAATCTTTAAAATGTCCCGATAATAAAATAAAATTGTGACGTGTGAAATCGAACCCGGAGTTTTACCCAGAGTTGAATGAGATTCAGAGAGTTGAATCATATAACAGGAGGGGAATCATATACCCAGAATCCCTCCTCCTCCCCGCCCCCCCCCCCGCATGCATGCAAAATCTCCTAAATCAACACCCCCTGTATGTACGTAACACCGCCCACGGGCCTTACAGTGATAAAATGGGCCTAAACTTGGGTGACCAAACGCCCGTTTTTTCACGATTGTACCCGGTGTCCCGAAAAAGTCTCTCGGGACGCCTAAATGTCCCGTTTTTTAAAACCAAACACATGTTCAAATCACTAATAGGCCTACTTCCTTATTTATAATATTTGTAATATTTTGGCTAGCTGTGTAGCCAGTGCCAGTAGTGATGTGGGCTCGCGTGATGGATGCACTGTTTCCCTCCACCAGTGTCACCAGTCTGCCGACGCTGCGTAAAAGACAGTGTCCATGCCATAGTCACTGCAAAGTAATTGTTTTCATTTATGATATGCCTCAGAGTCTAAATTAAATTACAAAAGTGAAGGTAAATTTAAAAAGATTTCTAGTTTTCAAAATAGTTAAAATGAGCATATTTCAATAAACAGTTTTCGCCGGAGGCCCCCCGGACCACTCTTTGGCTAGAGAGTAGTCCCCCCTCCCCCCGCCCTACCCTCCTTGGCTGTGTCCCGTTTTTTTTCAGTTCACGATTTGGTCACCCTAGCCTAAACCCTTTTCCAGTGAGCAACGATTATCTCGGTGATACAGACCCGGCATGCTTACTAAACTTGGGCTACCAATCAAGTTTGACTTGATTGAGATAAATTCATTATACAAGGATTCATTTTAGCGTAGGCCTATAGTCTACCTGAATTTAGTTTTGCATCAATCTAAGTCTAAGCTTTATTGATTTTGCAACATAGAAATGCTGTGAAATTTGAGTGTCCCTTTGGCCGTATTGACCTGGTTGTGTTTATACAAATCTTTTATTTTTAATTACTAGGCCTACCGGTACTAAATAGTAGGCTACCTAATGTTTTATAATATTCGTTTAAACTACTACTATTAGTTATAAAACAATTCAAATTAAAACGCTTTAATTTGTTTAAACTTCATCATTAGTAAATGATTTTTAAAAGTTTTAGCTGCTACTGCGACGTACCGGTGATTAACGGTAATAACACACACACAAAATACAAAGCCCACTGCTGCCCGGGTGCGTCGACTGAGTTGTGACGCCGAGCTGGGTCAGGGCCGCGTGGCTTATGAAGCGTACTACAATCACCTTCTATGGACAATGCGTCCAAGCTGTGTGACTGAGTTTCTATGTTGACTGCCAAAAGTCTCAAACACCTTAATCCGATCATGTATCATACCTGGTACAGCCCTTGTAGGGCTTTGGCCTGCCTCACCACTTCCTTCCAATCAGACCTAACAAATTGCCTTTCTTTTCCATGCTTGGACTTTAAGCTGTTGTAGATCTTTTTCCACAAGGGATGGCCGATGGCATCAAATCAAATCATTAAAATTAGAATTTAAGCATTAAAATTAAAGAGATTATTTTAAAAAGTACATAGACTAAAAATAAACTGTACTTACAATTTATATTATTATATGTTTAAAATCACAAAGGCGGCAGTCAAAGATAACTTTAAAAAAATTTCAAGTGTTTCTTTATTAAATGGTTGTTTCTCCCGCGCCCTAAATTATGTAGTTGTATTTCTGACTATTGCAGACGTT